TAATAGGTATTATGTAATGATTAACTCAATTTTAGCAAATTGCAAAATGTGAGAAAATTTCTTTGTATAGGTTCTAAATTTTAGATAAACTGGAAAATTTCATTGGACAATTGTTTTTTTTCGATAACCCAGTCCAGTATGGTTAAAAATATTTACAGGTTTTTAAATTGGACAATGGGAAATGCTATACTATACGTTTTGAAATAAAATCATAAAACTGCTGGCGTGATATCGATAATCTTAACATATACACTTAAAATTTTAGAGTAATTGACTATAATCAGTCCCCTGCACAAGAAAGGAAACAGAGAAAAAGTAGAAAACTATAGAGGAATTACGTTGTTGAATACAACTTACAAGATCTACAGTTCCATTTTACAACATAAGTTGGAAAGGGATATAGAGGAAAAACAACTGCTACCAGAGGTGCAAATGGGATTTAGAAAGGGAAGAGGAACAATCGAATGCATAGCGACCCTGGATCACATAGTAAGGAGGGAATTAAACGAAAAAGGAGGAAAGGTATACGCGCTCTTTGTAGATTTGAAAGCGGCTTTTGATATGGTTAATAGGGAAAGACTATGGCAGATAATGAAAGACATGGGCATCAGTAAAACACTAATAGAGAGAATTAGAGAAATCTACAGAGAGACAGAAAATAGAATCAGAGTTAATGGAGAAACGTCGATGAATTTCTGGACGAAGAAAGGAGTTAGGCAAGGATGTCCATTAAGTCCAACGCTCTTTTCCTTGTATATAGCAAAATTAGAAGAAAATCTTAGGAAGGCACAGATGGGAGGGGTCACTTTAGGGAAAACAAAAATCTGGTCACTACAGTATGCAGACGATATTGTCCTACTGGCAAAAACGGGTAAAGAAATAAGAGAGATGATGAGAACCCTACAAACATTTGTAAGAAGGAGAGAACTGCAAATGAATGTAGAAAAAACGAAAATGATGGTTTTCAGAAAGGCGGTAGGGAGAAGTAAGAAAGAGGTTTGGCAATGGGAAGAAAAGACGATAGAAGAAGTAGCGACGTTTAAATATTTAGGGTATACATTTCAAAGAAATGGAAGAAGAACCCAACATTTGGAAAATACAGTAAAGAAGGCAAATAGATTGTTGAAGGCGGTATGGGGACTGGCAGAGAGAAGGTTGAAGAACGATTTCGTTAGAAGAATATGGCTCTTCGACAGCTTAATAAAAAGTGTTATTATGTACGGTGCTGAAATCTGGGGATGGAAGGAAAGGGAGAGTCTAGAACGAGTACAGGCAAAGTATTTGAAATGGACGTTAGGGTTGGAAAAAGAGACACCAGAGTACATTGTATTAGAGGAAACGAAGAGAGAAAAACTAAGAATAGAAGCAACACGAAGGGCAATGAAATTTGAAGAGAAGATCAGGCAGAACGTTGAATGCAAAATAATGAAAGAAATGTGGGAAGAGATAAGGGTAAATTATAAGAAGACAGCGGAAGAAAGAAGAGAATTTTACGAAGTAAGAGGTCTAACGGCAGAAGAAGTAGAGAGAAAAAGGATAGAGGGAGCAGAGCCCAGGAAGGAAATTTTAAATCTAGATGAAGAGTTACAAAGAAAAGAGCAAAGGAAAAAAATAGCAGAGTCCAGATATAATCCAAAATATGGAGAAATAATAGGAGGTCTAAAATTACCGGAGTATCTAATAAGAGGGAGAAAGAATGAAGACAGAAAGACAATAGCCAGATTTAGGGTGGGAAATGAAGAAGGAGAAAACTGTTACTGGAAAGAGGAAGAGGATAGAAGATGCGGATTATGTAGGGAATTTCCGGAGACGATTGAACACTGGCTAAAGGATTGTGAAGAGTTACGGGAAGTCGAGAAAGATAGGAATGAGCTATTGAACGAAACAGGTGATGGTCTGGAATGGATGAAAATGATATTAGAAAAGAAACGAAAATAAGGAAGCATTTCGAGAAAGAATATTAGTTTAAGTTAAAATATGTTTAATTGATATATATTTGTACATATATAGATATATTAAGGGAAAAATGTAAACCGGACTTCTTTCAAGTCCCGAATGGGAAAGAAATAAACAGTTACATACATACATACATACATACTTATAACTTGACACATTAAGCATTTATGACATTTTAGATGACATATGTTACTTTCCACCCATGAGATGGAAGTGAGGTAAGTAATAGCTCACTTACGGACCTTTTACAAAGTTGGAAAGCGTCACATTACTGATCGATTGTGAATAAAATATTTCCTCGACTGTGCGTGGTGAAAACAACATTTTTATTATTAACTGGTGCAGAATCCACTCGTTTACTTTTTTGTTTATCACATGAATTAACACCAAATCTACGGTCGCGACCAGAAAATCTTGGACGTCGTTTTTCTGTTATTTGAAAAATTTTGATGTAGTTTGTGGCTTCATAAAATTTAAAAGATTTATCACGTTGTATATTCGGTGTCAACAAATCCTGAAATAATTGCGGGTGTGGTTTTATTAGAAAAATTTGATTAACTTTTTGATTTTCAAGATTCCATCAGCAGCAAGGTGAAAATAATTCTATTCTGTGAAAATCTTGTGCCTAAAACCGTTGTTTTAACAGTAGCAGTTCTAAATATGATTAGATAATAGGTATTATGTAATGATTAACTCAATTTTAGCAAATTGCAAAATGTGAGAAAATTTCTTTGTATAGGTTCTAAATTTTAGATAAACTGGAAAATTTCATTGGACAATTGTTTTTTTTCGATAACCCAGTCCAGTATGGTTAAAAATATTTACAGGTTTTTAAATTGGACAATGGGAAATGCTATACTATACGTTTTGAAATAAAATCATAAAACTGCTGGCGTGATATCGATAATCTTAACATATACACTTAAAATTTTAGAGTAATTGACTATAATAATAATTACACAATTAATGTAGCATCTATATCGTAAATTTGGGGCTTTGAACCAATTTGACAACACGTTCCAACTTCTATTAGCACAAAGTATTAGAAAGCTACACTTTCGGTGCGCATAATTTTTTTGTGGCCACACGGTTCTCGTAAAAATATTTTAAACATTCATAAAAAAAGACAGAACTGATGTCACAGTTCTATAAAGCTGAAAAACATAAAATAAGTTTCTTACAGAACACAATTGTTGTGAAGTACCTACGGCTATAAATAATGTATGATTAATAACAATAATTCCAGAACTTGAGATCATAGCAGGAGTCTGAGATTTTATCAGCAGCATTAGGTACAGTTTTCGATTTTTCATATTCCATAAATGCCAAGGTAAAAATAATGCTGCTGTGTGTAGTTCCAGTGACTAAAATTACGCTGACTGTAAAATTATATACACTTACTTTCTGTTAACACTAACTGCATCTTGTAAAAGTTGACCACTAATACAAAATCCTGAAGTTACTAAACCTCCAGTTACTGCTAGCATAATTCCACGTATGAAAGAGTTGTCAAAATCCTTCTAAAATAATTAAATGTTTAGGTTTTTTTTTTCGAAGTAAACTAAAATACCAAGTAAAATACAAGCGAAACTGAGAAAAGTATAGAACTGGTAGTCACCATAAAAATCGGCAAATAAATAATATCGTTAAGTTCAGTAATGACCCTGCAATATACATTGGTACTATCATATTATGACAATAATCATCGCTCACCGTAGCAAATATTGGTGGTACTGAATACAGCTTTTTAGTTCTTCCGTAACTCGAATTTGATAGTCATTATTTCTCAAGAGATCTTCATTTTCTTCGGACCCTTTGAAATATAATTTCTGCAATCTTTTCTTTAACAAGAAAAATTGAATTTTAAGGTGCAGACAGAAATGAATTAATACAAAAGCTGTAGCCATCATTGTAAACCCTCCATGATATACTGACAAATAATAAATTGTGGAAATAGGATTTTTCCACTTGCCAAAATAATCAGTATAAACCTTCACTGGTAACATAATGTCATACTCATCACCAACCCACGGCAGACCCGCGGTGGATGTCGAAAATGAAGACACAAGTGTAACGACGACGAAAATGTTTGCAAGCTTTGCTGAGTTACGAATTATTCGGTAATTTTGTTTTCCTGCGCAATGTGGGGACCAAAATTTTGGAAATTCTCGACTTACTAAATTAAGGTATTCGTTTTTTTTCCAAAATATGACGACATAGCAAGAAAATCCCTAGAAGTCAGTTGCAGATAAAAAAAAGCTGCAGATAAAAATCTTACCAGAACCGCCCCTAAAGCAAGCAATGAGTAGTTTTTCCAAAACTCTTTTTCGAGGTTTGTTAGTAAAACATATCCACATGGTACAAATGTTGCCGACATGAAAGATACGCAGAACATTCCCACGAATTTGAATTTTGATAAAAGAAAAAACTCAGGCAGAGCAGTTAGTGCAAATAAAACATCTTCTAAAATTTAGTTTATAAATTATAATATTATAAAATAAACATTATTACCTTGAAGTATGTCGTTCATTCTCCAAAGCATTTTGAAAGTTGTAAATGACTGTAGGTATTAAACAAAGACTTGTGTTAGCGACGGCTTAGAATAAAACAATGACGTGTTTTCTAAGTTTTATATCTCTTTTTATTATGGTTCCAATAAGCATAATGATTGTAATTCGACAGTAAATATCAAATGACATTAAGTATGTTTTCTTTGTTGATGTTGCTCTATTTTAGCATCTAAACGTATTAACTATATGTCTTTTTTTTCGTTAGGTTCTATTGTGTAAGATCACCATTTTAGGAGACACACTGACTGTTTTTGAAATAACAATCACTTGGAATTTATTATATGTGTCTAAATTGATTTTAATGTGTCTTAACAATTTATAACATTTTTATAAGTAAAAATTTTGTTCAATTCCTAGTGTTTAAGTAAAAAGGATGATCTTATTTGTAACTTATAGTTAAAATAACTAAAGTAATTGCTGCAACAATATATTTTTGTAACATTTTACAGACATTAACAATGTGTAGCAGAAATTTTAGACCATTCGCTTTAAAAATATTTTAAGATGTCGTGATCTCTGATTTGTAATTCCAGTCGGTAACCAGAAATAAATTTTGACAATAGTGACGGTAAATTTTAAAACATTTTATTTATCAGGTAGAAAAAATATAATAACAATAATATTTATAAAAAACGCAAACATTAAATAATATCACATGTAACCACCATGGAATATTGAGCGTCTCAGAGACCTGTAATTAAATACAAATTAATTAATGATAACAAAACCGCAAAAAAATCTTACCAAGACGTAATATTTAAAGCTTCAGATCATGAGATAACTCAATTCCTTCGCCGAAAGATTCAATGTGTCCTTCATAACCTCCGAAATAACCCCCATAACCATGGTGAACTTCTTTGGCAATGATTGGGATTTTCTTTTCTACGACTACAGGGTATGGTACTTTAACTGGGTAGGGTTTAGGCACATGAACAGGGTAAGGTTTGGGGACAGGTACTTTCACAGGTACTGGTACTGGAACCTTGACAGGGACCTTAATATGTACAGGATATGGCTTGGCAACAGGTACAGGGTATGGTTTTTTGACTACCACTGGGTATGGCTTTGGCACTGGAACAGGGTAAGGCCTGTCAACGGGAACTTTAACTGGCACCTTCACAGGGTATGGAACGTGTTTGACGACAGGATAAGGCACTGGGTGGGGTACTGGATATGGCACTTTTTTGGTAAGGGTGATGGTTTTGACGTGCTCGTGGTGATGACCAAGGTCCAGTCCATGACCTCCAAGAAATTCTATACCACCGTGACCATAACCACCGTGATCAAAACCACCGTAACCACCTATTTCTTCGTAACCACCTAGTTCTAGACCACGTTTGGAAAGCTTCTTCTCATCTTGAACTTCATCGGCTAAAGCCAAGCCGACTATTGTTAAGATAATCTGGAAGGAGTCACGTTATTTAAATCAACACTAAACACTTTTCACTTACAATGAACTTCATCCTGTGGTATTAGTCCAAATGGTATACGCACACTGATGATTATCATTTCGACTAGCAAGTATTTATACAAAATGACTTTCCCCAAAGACCCTTGGTTCCGTTCATGTGTAAAAATGCACAATTTGGGTCACGCATTAAAACTAATAATGCCTTTACTTTTTACATAAGTAGGGAAGTAATATGATAGAACGTATTGGTTAACAGAATAGAAATTAAGCTAGTAATTTGTTAAGACTTCCTACATAATGATATAATCGTGTACGATTCTAAAAATATTCCGAAACGTAATGTGTTATGTATAGTTTATCTAATTTGTCACTGGTATGCATACAGTAACGTAAGTAGAACATTAAATTTGGGAGTAAATATAACACGATTTATAGCCAGGACGGTGTTACGTAACAGACTGATTCGAAAAAAATGATCATCGTCATTAAGAACATGGCGAAGATTAACAGGTGATCTGTAATTACAACACTTTAAATTTGCTCAAAATTGCAAAACGCATTTTTTATTGCTATAGGATGCAAATTAAAAAGTGTTAAGAAATGGTTTTAACACATATTGTAAGAGCATTTATTTCTTTACTCGAGCGCTAAATCATTACGTAAACCGTCTGTTGGCGATCTAAGTTCCGATGTTGCACGCAGTGCGTGCCATTTTGTTTAACATATGCACAAACTAAACTATAACGTGATGAATATTATTTGAATATTAAATCTCGATATTACTAAAATAGTCAGTTTGTTTGATTAGTAAATCGAATTTTGAAACACGTATAGTCCTCCTATTTTTTTACGAAGCTTTATAGCAACACAATTTTTTTCCTGGAAAAGATTCCAAAAGATATATCCTTCTATCTGAGTATAACTAAATATAAAGTGAGTTTAACTTGTATTTTTTTTTATTATCAATTTGAATTTTAAAAGTAAAAAATCTTGTTTACCTACATACAAAACCGGAAAAGGAAAGAATATTAATATGAATTATTTCATAATAATACTAAAATTAATTATTAAATTACTAAAAAAATTTGGAATTCCCGTGTTTTATTAAAACGTTAAAGGCGAATAATATCTTACATATAAGTTATTAATAAATACTTATTAAAAAATATTAAGTTTTAAATATTGTTTCATAACGTTTTGCTGAGAATTTGAATAAAACTATAATCCATACCTGTATATCTTTAACGTATTTATTACTTCTATATGGTTATTGTTATTAATTATTACATATGTTATTAGTTCTTTTTAACTTCAAGACTATTTTTTCTGACGATTTAATTACCATAAATCTGCATATAACGAATTACGAAAGTTTATTTTTTTAACGACAGTTGTTACTCAAAACATATCGCCACTTTGAAGAATATTTGGTTAACAAGTTTCTATTATAAACACGACAATTTAAATACGAAGATTTATTCAAATTGTTTTTTATATAAAAAAAAGTATTTTCATTTTTCAATTTTATGCAGAAATGCTGGTGTTTTCACTAAAATTTGTACAGTTTGCAGCGTTTGTAAAAGTTGTGGACGATAATGTGCATTACATACTTATTTATTTAACATCAGTAGTCGAATCCGATCACTTTACAACGATTATCAATTCAATATTAATTACTTACTTAATATAAATACAACATACCTAGTCTTCCGTCTCGTCAGGAGAAAACTGCATTAAGTACATTACCCAATAGTATAACAGATGACTTACATTAAGGCTTTTGGATAATGGACTGTCGTTTTCGAGGTTACTTTTACTACATTGAAAGAAATTGTCTAAATTCCGAAAATTTTTGATCAAAAGGCTGTATTAAAGTTAAAAATAATTAATAAATACTTTTTTTTTCATAAATTTCATGACTTTTTAATCACACCATACTTGTAAACAAATAAAAGTCAGATAGATATTTGGCGGTTCTTTCTGAGAAAGAAAATACGTTTATTAGTTTTGTTTCCGAGACAGATTAAAAATAAACTTTAATCTTAGAAATTTTTGAAAATTTTAAGTATACTTGTTGGTAGCTATTTTTGACTAAGTTGTGAAAAGGAATATTTATTTTATTTTTTTCTGAAAAATTACATTGTCTTACGAATTCGTTATGACGTTTTTTGTTCAATTTTTATATTTTCAATGCCCAATTTCAACAAACATAATGTCTGATTAATGTTTTTTAAATTATGAGAAAATCTATATTTTTAACACATTTAAAAAAATTAATTTTAACTTAACCTGTGTTTAGGCATACTAGTTTCATGATTTACTTATTTCTTGTACTATTTTCATGTAAATAAGAATAATCATAGAAGCCTAGGTCCAAAAAAGGTCAGTAACTTAAATTTACACGACTAATTACACTTGTGGTTACGTACAAAATAATTCTAGCGCAGCATGACTGGACCCTATTTTGACTGAACTGAATTGTTGGTCTCTATTTTAAACGCATACTTTCTTTCTAGATATTTGGCGATTGAGGTTTTTCTGGAATATCCATCGGGATTTCCGCTTAAAGGCTTTTCTTTAGCGAACGCCATCCGATCGACGATGAGCCATCGATCATCGCCGTACATACTAGAAAGCCCTCCAGAAAACCCATAGGCGTCGTACGGGGGCGGCGTGTGGCTTTATTTCGTAACAATATTTTAAATGTTTTGTTTCAGGTGTTCGACTTATGGGTTAAATTTCATACTGATTTTTTTGTACGTAATTTTTTTCATAACTTTACCTTCTTTTCTAGTTTTTATATTACCAAATCATTTAGAATTTTATAGCACTAAACGCAGTCTTTTACTCCTGAATTTAATATTTACTATATTTATAAAACATTTAGGCCCAATTTTACCAACCAGGGATAAACCAAGGATAACTCTATTCCTTGGATAAACGTCGGATATTGATTTTACAGACATAGGATAACTACGGAATAGATAAAATTAGGGATAAACAACGGTATTTCTTAACCCTCGCTGTGGACATGGGATAAGAATTTATCTAAGGAATAGTAATTGATAATAACACTATCCCACATCATTTTCATAACTGATTCGAAACTATTGACTCTATTTTTTCTTTTAGAAGGTGTAGATCCACATTATTCTCTCGTTTCTTCAGTTTTATCAAAATGAACAACATAACCTCCAAAAAGTTAACCTACGATGGTTGCATGTACATAAATTGCTTTTTTCACGAATATAGATTTATAATATTCCTAATCACTCTAATAATCAGCATAATAAAAAATCGAGACACACTCTGAAAAAGTCGTATTACAATCGCTAATGCACATTATTTATTATTAACCCATTAGCCCTTGCTACGTGACCAAACCCTAGCTGTCGATTGCCGCTGCAAAGATGATAGAATGAGAAACTTCTACATTATAGATGAAAATTGTGAGAGTAATGTTGTCACAAAGCAGATCCAAGGAAAAATTTCTGCATCATAGAAAAATTGCTTTGGTAATGTTATTGTAAAGAAGATCCAGGAGGAGATGAACATTGTGGGCGTAATTCACATTCACGCATGAATCTCATCACCGAGAAAAAATGGGAATAAAATTGTAATTTTGATTACTAACGTTAATGTTAATGTCAATGTCCCTTTGGACGTCCCATTCGTCCTACCTGGCTCCTGATCTCTTCATTACTACCGGAATCAAAAACTTCCACCTGTTTTCCCCATATTTATTAAAATTTCTGTAAACTTTTGGATAACACACTTCTGTTGTGTCAATATTTTTGACATTTTACATATCATTTTGTTACCAACATCACAACAAAATTAGGTAAACCGAGGGATAACTAACGATCAGATAAAAATTATTGTAAAAGTAGTACCGATTTATCCAAGGGTTAAATGACGGGATATATTTATACCTTGGATAACTATTCCCATGTTTATCCACGATTTGTAAAAGTGGGCCTTAGTTGCTCTTAAAAAAATCACGTACCAAAAATGCTAAAATTTGTTCTGTTTTTTCTGTAATTATACTTCGACTTTGCAGTACAGTTTCTTTCTGGTAGACAGCAATAGTCGCATTTCATTAAAAACGAAAGCAATAGAATGTTTGCTTATTTCACACATTTACATACCACCCCTACTCCAAAATCTATATCAACCCATAAGCATATTAATGACCAAATCAACACAAAAATTAGAGTTGCATATTAAAAAAACAGGATGCCTATTTTGCTCTTTTATGTCTGTAACAAAAACGTTTTAATGTCTTCTCTACAAAATATCTTGGGATGTTTATTTCGATTCTAACTAATAGCTTTCCTTTAAAGCACTTCTATATATAGTTTAGGAAATATCGTTGTACCCTATAAAATTTTATTGACTATAACGAGACGGACAGTAGTACAATAGCAAGAGATATTTACAACTTAAAGTTGTCGCGTGGCGGTAATCCCCAGATGTTAGAAAGAAGAATAATCCAGGTCCGGACAGGGACCTTCGTTACTCACGAACAAAACTGACCATTATTTTAAGGGTACAACTACTTGGTAAATGTTCACCGACAAATTCGGGTGGACTGGTGTAAGCCATAAATATTTCTTACTATTGTACTACTTACTGTTCGCCTCGTTATTGTCAATAAAATTGTATAGGGTACAACGATATTTCTTAAACTATACTTTATAAAATTTAATTTTGCGAATTGTTTACCTCCCATGTGGTATTATAACTATTAGTTGTTATTAATGGCGGAAAGTAACATACCTTGGGGAAGTAAAGAAAAAAATATTTCACATTTAAACAAATCCTAGAATTTATAATGTCCCTTTGATTGTTCTTGCCCAGAAGCGAAGAGTAAGCATTGCCCTCAAACTTTTTAATTTTCATGTTTTTCATTTTTATTAAAATCCATTTTAAACAAATTCGACTTTTGATATTGATATCTAATATTGTATATTTTTAATAAGCAAGTTTTTTACTTAAAACTATAGGCGGAAGTAAGTCAAATGTTATATACAACTAGGGATCTAGTATTCTTGACCAGTCTCGGACTATGTTGGCGGCTCGAGCTCAAACCTCATCCTCGACTGGAATTAGGTAATATGATTATCCACATGCATTGTAACATAAATAACTTTTTGTATGCGCCTCTTTTATAGTTAAAACATTTGTCTGGTATAAAAACGTAATCATATTCTTTGGACGTTATTAAAGACAAGAGTAAGTTATTGTATCCACAAAAGACTTTGTTGCTCAAGCAGTCGAATAAAGACTATTAAACTCTAGTAAGTTTTCTAAAAATTTCAAGTATAAATGTTGCGAATATTAGATATTTTCGCTTAAGTTCTCATAATTAGCAGTGTAGTAAACATAGCACGTAACAACATTGTAATTTAATATTTTTCTTGTAAAATGTTTTTATGTATTTTTGTAGTAAAACACCAAGGTAATGCTTTTGGGTCTTTATTGAGGTAATAGTAAAAATAGAAAGAATTTCGTTCAAATGTGGAATCGTCTACAAAGTTGCAAACAATTCACACATTTCTAACGAAATTGAACAGTTGCTTGCCAATCCATTCCTGGTTGCGAATAGTGTGGAAACTCTCCACAGTAGTGAAGCTAAACCACACTATTTCTTAAAAACGATTTTGACATATTTAATTTAAAGTAGTTGTTGAAATTGTCGATTTAGTGATGTCCAAAATCATCTCCAAGAGAGAAACCGTGTTCGCTTCCGAAAGACAGACCTTGTCCGCCGCCCAAGGACAAACCATGTCCGCCTCCCAAAGACAATCCACCGTCTCCGAAACCTCCAGAAGAGTACTCTTCATGTCCCTTGACGAATACTGGCACTGGCTTCTTGATGATCTTGTATTCAGGGATGTGAACTGGGACTGGTTTATGTACTGGCACTGGGTATGGTTTTGGGATGTGTACAGGGACCTTGAATGGTACTGGCACTTTGACAGGTACTTTCACTGGAACGTGGATGGTTTTTTCCACTTTGACAGGGTAGGGTTTGTCGATGTGGACTGGGTATGGCTGAGGTACATGCACAGGGTAAGGCTTGTCAACTTTCACGGGAATTGGCACTTTCACTGGTACTGGGATCTTTTTTTCCACTGGCACTGGTACTGGGTGTGGTACTGGTACTGCGATTTTCTTGTGGAGAGTGATATGAGTGATGTGGCCGTGATGTTCATCTTCTAAGCCGCCACCGTAGCCGCCGCCGAAGCCACCACCGTAGCCGCCGCTGAAGCCGCCGCTGGTGCTAATTCCGCTATCTAAGCCTCCCAATGAAAGGCTGTCGTGCCCAAGGGAAAAAGACCCATGGTCTCCTAGGATGAGGCCACGTTTGGATTTTGAGGATTCTTCTGCGAGGACTGCAGATGTAAGCAGTAAAGCGCAAACCTATTTTAATGATTTGAATTAATTTCTGTGCACATTTTGTTAATTAGAAGTATATGATTTTGTAGAAAGCTGTCTTACCAGAAATTTCATGATGTTGCTTGAAGGATTGACGATGCAACTGTGTTGTCTTGGGATGGTAAGCGTGGAGTTTTTATAGTGGTGTTAATTTATCCCCCGAAACTCATTTTTATTAAATAATGAATATTTCAAATCCATTGTAGCGCATCAACCGTAACTTAATTAATTTTAATAAAGCGCGCAAATTTATGCATTTTTTAAGTCTACGCCATTTCATGATTTGGTTAAAATTTATTCTGTTGACACACATCTATCATATTTTTGAAAAATACTTTTAAAACACAATTAAGAACACATTTCTAAGTAGGAACTGCATTTTACAGTGCAGCAGAAAATTAATGATAGTGTGAGAAGTGTAAGAAATACGGGCTTAAATCATTTGTTACAGAAGACTTTTTATTGATAAAATGTGATATTCTTTTTAAAGAAATAATTACCATATTTATGGTTGGTTCTTTGACGTATTAGATTATTCGAATTAGCTTTATTAAAATACTCAGCAAAAAATCTATTTTAAATAAAAATGAATCGCTAAATGTGTTGCTAAGCGCAAAATTCGATAACGGCTCGACCAATTCGGCTAATTTTTTTTTTTCATATTTTTGTTAAGGCACAAGGAAGGTTCTTATGGAGAGAAAAAATATAAAAATTACGAGGAAAATACTAAAAACAACACTTTTAGGTTAGGATTATCTTTGGTATGCCTTCAAGTTGATTAGGGTTGGCGTGTCATTAATGAAAATAATATAACGAGTTCCCCCAAAACTTATTTTAATTTCTCAAATATTGTTTATAGTGATGAAAAAATCTAAAAATTCAAAAAATTTTATATTGAATTAATTTCAATAGTTGGCGTTCCTGACGGACCTGTCGTCTTAACTGAGAAAAGTATATTGCATTTCAAATCGTTCTTTGTTTTTTCGTAAAAAAAAAACGTCGGTTATTGTAAGAAAAGTTTTGGTTAACGTAGAAACATCATTTAGTATTATAAATCTTGGAGAAAACTAAATCCAAGAAGTTCTGATCTTTTCAGAACTTATTCAATTGCTTTAAGAACAATACCTGAACTATTGCAGGGCGAGAACGGAGTTTACCTACTTTTAAGTATCTAACTAGATTCAATTGTTATTTAAATGAAGCTTTCGATAAAAAACTACTGGATTCCGTGTATATTGATTTGTCAAAAACCTTCGATAAGGTAAACCGTAAGTTATTGTTCTGTAAATTGAGCCAATTAGGGTTTAACAATAATATCGTTAAATGGTTTAACATATTACTGTCAGAGAGATCACAGCAAGTCAGGATTGGTACTTATATGTCGTGTCCTTATTTTGTTCCATCAGGCGTACCTCAAGGAACGCATTGTGGACCAATTTTGTTTTTAATATTCATTAATGATTTAACGCGTAGCTTTCGTTACTCCAATTTTCTGTTATATGTGGACGATTTGAAGGTATTTACACCTGTTAGTTCCGTGAAAGATGTAATTGAATTACAATAAGATTTTAACCTCTTAAATACATATATAGTATCATTTGTTAATATTAAATTGAGGGTGAACTTTGACTATTGCTTGGGGAATTTTACATTATCTTGTGTTGAGGAAGTCAAAGATTTAGGTATGGTTTTTGATTCTAGATTAACATTTAAGAATCATTATTATACGACATTATACGTGCAAAACGTAAAAACCTTGTCCCAAATAAATAGAAGAACGTCTACCATTGTCCATTTGATTTTTTGGTATTATTCAGTATAACACAAGTGACAATAATGCAATAAGTCAAAAGATAGTATTTATTTATAAACAAAGGAATAGAACATATGTACAATTCATTGAGGTTACAGTCTTAAAATTTCTGGAAACTCTCCACTCAACGTGGAGCTATCCATACTTTTTATTAATACTTTAATACGTAAAATAAAATGCAGTAATAAAAATGCTGCGCTGATACTTCGTTAAAGATGTTAATGATGACCAAAACTTCCACTTCCTAATTCGCCTCCAGATGAACCTCCAGAACCCAATCCAAGGCTATTTCCAGAAATTCCAGAGCTTAATCCTTGGCCTCCTCCGTATCCACCAGATGACCCACCGGAGCCATAACTTTGTCCGCCTCCAAAACCACCAAATGAACCACTCGAGCTTGATCCTTGCCCTCCTCCATATCCACCAGATGAACCACCTGATCCAAAACTTTGTCCGCCTCCAAAACCACCAAATGAACCACTCGAGCTTGATCCTTGTCCTCCTCCATATCCACCAGATGAACCACCTGATCCAAAACCTTGTCCTCCTCCAAAACCGCCAAATGAACCACTCGAGCTTAATCCTTGTCCTCCTCCATATCCACCAGATGAACCACCTGATCCAAAACCTTGTCCTCCTCCAAAACCGCCAAATGAAGCCCCTGAGCTTAATCCTTGTTGTCCTCCAAAACCACCAGATAAACCACCTGATCCAAAACTTTGTCCGCCTCCAAAACCACCAAATGAACCACTCGAGCTTGATCCTTGCCCTCCTCCATATCCACCAGATGAACCACCTGATCCAAAACCTTGTCCGCCGCCAAAACCACCAAATGAACCACTCGAGCTTAATCCTTGTCCTCCTCCATATCCACCAGATGAACCACCTGATCCAAAATCTTGTCCTCCTCCAAAACCGCCAAATGAACCCCCTGAGCTTAATCCTTGTTGTCCTCCAAAACCACCAAATGAACCACTTGAACTTGATCCTCCTCCATATCCACCAGATATACCGAATCCCTGTCCACCACCTGACTGACCGCTTCCATACCCTCCTTGGCCACCTCCTTGTCCACCTCCTTGTCCGCCTCCTTGTCCTGCTCCTTGTCCTCCACTCGATACAGGCACTGGTTGCTTCACAATTTGGAAATCAGGAATCTGAATAGGAATTGGTCTGTTTACTGGAACAGGATAAGGTCTTGGAACAGTGACTGGTATTCTAACTGGTACTGGCACCTGAACTGGGATTTTAATTGCAACAGGCACAGTTCGTTCTACTTGAACAGGATAAGGTTTATCTACGGCGACAGGATAAGGTTGTGCCACTTGGACTGGATAAGGTCTGTCTATATTCACTGGTACTGGTACTTGAACCGGTATCGGTATTGTTCGCTGCACTTGTACTGGAACTGGCTGAGGAATCGGTATAGAAATTTGTCTAGTGAGCTGAATGTGGGTTATAGTACCCCCATTGCCACCGCCACCACCGCCTCCTCCACCAGCACCACTTCCACCAGCGCCACCTCCACCAGTGCCAGCTCCGCCTCCTAAATTGCCGCCGTTTCCACCTCCGATACCGCTGCCGAAACCACCTCCACTTAGTCCTCCACTACTTTGGCCATAAGAGCTCCCGCCTCCTCCAATTCCACCAAGGGAAAGTCCTCCACTGAGTCCCCCAAATCCCCCACCCGACGAAATTCCGCCGCCAAGTCCTCCATATTTCCCAGAAGAAAGACTTCCACTCAAGCTTCCGGTTCCCAATGAGGAACCGCCGCTGAATCCTGAAGAAAGGCCACCTGATCCGCTTAACCCACCCAATCCACCAAATTTTCCACCAGATGAGAGACCACCGCCTAATCCTCCAAATCCGCTTCCAGAAGAAAGACCACCATTTAATCCATTCTGCCCTCCTCCGAAAGAGGAACTTCCTCCCAAGGAAAGACTCCCCAGTCCGCTTTGTCCCCCACTAAAACTGCCTTGGCTTCCGCTCCACGGTCCTTTATTTGAGAGACTTCCAGCAATACTTCCATATCCTCCTCCTAATGATCCACTTTGACCTCCAGAACTTCCCAGTGAAAGTGAAGACAAACCACCGCCGCCGCCGCCGCCACCTCCGCCTATTGAATTTCCACCCCCATATCTTCCAGACAAAAAACCACGTTTTGTTCTGGGAGTATCCTTAGCAAAACTTGTGGTCACCAGTAAGAAAGCACAAACCTAAGAATAAATGATTGATTATTCTAATTAACTGATCTAGCATTTTTTAATTAATTATCTTACCCAAAATTTCATGTTGCTTGTTGAAATGATTTGCAACTGTGATTATGGATGATCGACGTAAGCTTATATACAGTTGTTTTCCCCTATAGTGACAACACTTTCCTTCTGGTGAACATCAAAGAAATGAACAGGAAAAGAAACAAAAAGCAACTAGCGTTAAAAACCATACTGGTCAATGTAAGAGTAATGCTTCTTTGAAAATACAAAAAGGAATTATTTTAATAAGAAGATCTAAAAAGTTGTTTGAACAAGTTCAGTTAAAATTTAACTGAACTTGTTCAAACAACGAATTAATAAAATTAAATTAATAATTTAATTATTAATTTAATTTTATTAATTCGTATAGTGGCTACAATTTTAATCTGTAAAAGCATGTAAATCTTCAAATTATAGTTTCATTAACTATGAAAATCTTATCATTTATGTGCTGTAATGCTAAGTGTGGGAAAATGAGTTCACAATTTATGTCTTCATTTTTAGTGAAATGTTCCTTTTTATTGTACATTTTGATAAAAATAAAAATTATGTTTCATAAATATTGTTGAATAATTCGGGTATAAATCTAACAAGAAATTGTTAAATATTACATTTAATGCAAGTTAGTTGTTTTTAATAAGTGATAAGAAAAGTCAACAGAAACTGTTAATCCTTATACTTGTTTAATTACTTCCTCCACATCCGCTTGAAGTTATCTTACAATTTTTAGAGATGAACTGAAACCTGTTTCCACAAAGAGCAAAAACTTTAAGAAAATGAAATGCAAGCGTGGTGTCAGCGAGCTGTTTATACAGCGTTGCACTAGGATGGCATAACTTAAATGCAAAAATTCTAAAAACTTGTTCGATAGTATCCACTTTCGCAATCAACCAGAAATGCTGTCTGTTTTAAAACAACATGATTAGAAAAAGTTGTAATTCATTTCTATATGAACTACCGGAACTGATTTGTTCCCTCTAAGTGTACATCGGCCACCGCCGGAAATATAACATGTGTATAAGTAGACAGTTTTATGTAGAAATGAAACAGTCGAGTTGC